CACCAAACCAGTGGTGCGCGTCGCCAGCCCGGCCCGGCCCGTGCCCGTTCCACCGGTGCCTGGTCCGGCACCGGTCAGCTGCTCCACTCCGGAGCCAGAGCAGTCCGCTCCACCGGTGCCTGATCCAGTGCCGGTCAGCTGTTCCACTCCGGAGCCAGAGCAGTCCGCTCCACCGGTGCCTGATCCAGCTCCGGTCAGCTGCGCCACTCCGGAGCCAGAGCAGTCCGCTCCACCGGGGTCCAGTCCAGCTCCGGTCAGCGGCTCCACTCCGGAGCCAGAGCAGTCCGCTCCACCGGTGCCTGATTCAGCTCCGGTCAGCGGCTCCACTCCGGAGCCAGAGCAGTCCGCTCCACCGGTGCCCAGTCCAGCAATGTTCCAACATCTAGTGGAAAGCCTTCCCAAAAGAGTGGAGGCTGTTATAGCAGCAAAGGGGGGACCAACTCCATATTAATGCCCATGTTTTTGGAATGAGATATTCGACAAACGGGTGTCCACATACTTTTGGTCATGTAGTGTATTATGAACAGCCCAAAGGGGTGCTAAAATGTGACCGACCGGCTCGATACGGTCTTCTGTAGCAAAATTTGAAATTGTGTTTTTTACATTTTTTATTTCCTATATGTTGAAGTTTATTTCCTGTATGTTGAAGTTTATTTCCTATATGTTGAAGTTTATTTCCTGTATGTTGAAGTTTATTTCCTATATGCTGAAGTTTATTTCCTGTATGTTGAAGTTTATTTCCTGTATGTTGAAGTTTATTTCCTATATGTTGAAATTTATTTCCTGTATGTTGAAATTTATTTCCTATATGTTGAAGTTTATTTCCCGTATGTTGAAGTTTATTTCCTATATGTTGAAGTTTATTTCCTTTTTGTTGAAGTTTATTTCCTATATGTTGAAGTTTATTTCCTATATGTTGAAATTTATTTCCTATTGCTCTTCCACTTCTCAGTGTTTTGTGAAACTCTGTATGATCTGGTTCCTTCTCTGTAGACTAGTCCTCTTCACTTGTTCCTAGTGTATTAGTCTCTGTAGACTAGTCCTCTTCACTGGTTCCTAGTGTATTAGTCTCTGTAGACTAGTCCTCTTCACTGGTTCCTAGTGTATTAGTCTCTGTAGACTAGTCCTCTTCACTGGTTCCTAGTGGACTGATCCCTGTAGACTAGACCTCTTCACTAGTTCCTAGTGGACTGATCCCTGTAGACTAGACGTCTTCACTGGTTCCTAGTTGACTGGTCTCTGTAGACTAGACCTCTTCACTGGTTCCTAGTGGACTGGTCTCTGTAGACTAGTCCTCTTCACTGGTTCCTAGTGGACTGGTCTCTGTGGATTAGACCTCTTCACTGGTTTCTAATGGACTGGTCTCTGTGGATTAGACCTCTTCACTGGTTTCTAATGGACTGGTCTCTGTGGATTAGACCTCTTCACTGGTTTCTAATGGACTGGTCTCTGTGGATTAGACCTCTTCACTGGTTCCTAGTGGACTGGTCTCTGTAGACTAGACCTCTTCACTGGTTCCTAGTGGACTGGTCTCTGTAGACTAGACCTCTTCACTGGTTCCTAGTGGACTGGTCTCTGTAGACTAGACCTCTTCACTAGTTCCTAGTGGACTGGTCTCTGTAGACTAGACCTCTTCACTAGTTCCTAGTGGACTGGTCTCTGTAGACTAGACCTATTCACTGGCTTTGTAATGACTGTCTTGGTCCTGGAGATAGCCTCGGTCCTCTAATGATACACTCGGTTTTGATGTCTGAACTATAGCCTGGGGGAGAAGGTGTAGAGACAACACTGTCTGGTATATAACAAGAACAGGAGGAGGGGGTCTGTTTGGGTAAAATAGTTTGGGGGGTCTTGGGTAGGATTACAAGGTGAAAAGCCCTCTCTCTCTCTCTCTCTCTCTCTCTCTCTCTCTCTCTCGCTCTCTCTGTCCCGCTCTCTCTCTCTCTGTCTCGCTCTCTCTCAATTCAATTTAAATTTAAATCCAATTCAATTTAAGGGCTTTATTGGCATGGGAAACATATGTTTACATTGCCAAAGCAAATGAAATAGATAATAAACCAAAGTGAAATAAACAATAAAAAATGAACATTACACTCACAAAAGTTCCAAAATAATAAAGACATTTCAAATGTTATATTATGTCTATATACAGTGTTGTAATGATGTGCAAATAGTTAAAGTACAAAAAGGAAAATAAATAAACATTAATATAGGTTGTATTTACAATGGTGTTTGTTCTTCACCGGTTGCCCTTTTCTTGTGGCAACAGGTCACAAATCTTGCTGCTGTGATTGCACACTGTGGTATTTCACCCAATAGATATGGGACTTTAGCCAAATTGGATTTGTTTTTGAATTATTTGTGGGTCTGTGTAATCTGAGGGAAGTATGTGTCTCTAATATGTTCATATATCTGGCAGGAAGTTAGGAAGTGCAGCTCAGTTTCCACCTCATTTTGTGGACAGTGTGCACTACGACAGCCTTTCTCAATAGCAAGGCTATGTTCACTGAGTCTGTACATAGTCAAAGATTTCCTTAAGTTTGGGTCAGTCACAGTGGTCAGATATTCTGTGTACTCTCTGTTAGGGGCCAAATAGCATTCTAGTTTGCTCAGTTTCTTTGTAAATTATTTCCCATGTGTGATGTTTTCTCATGATTTGGTTGTGTCGAATGTGTAGCTGTCCCGTTTGTGTTTGTGAACTGAGCCCCAGGACCAGCTTGCTTAGGGGACTCTTTTCCAGGTTCATCTCTCTGTAGGTGATGGCTTTGTTATTGAAGGTTTGGGAATCGCTTCCTTTTAGGTGGTTGTAGAATTTAACAGCTCTTTTCTAGATTTTGATCATTAGTGGGTATCGGCCTAATTCTGCTCTGCATGCATTATTTGGTGTTTTACATTGTACACAGAGGATATCTTAGCAGAATTCTGCATGCATAGTCTCAATTTGGTGTTTGTCCCATTTTGTGAATTTTTGGTTGGTGAGCGGACCCCAGACCTCACAACCATAAAGGGCAATGGGTTCTATAATTGATTCTTGGTATGTCGAATTTTATGTTCCTTTTGATGGCGTAGAAGGCCCTTCTTGCCTTGTCTCAGATCGTTCAAAGCTTTGTGGAAGTTACATGTGGCGCTGATGTTTAGGTTGAGGTATAGTTTTTTGTGTGCTCTAGGGCAACGGTGTCTAGATGGAATTTATATTTGTGGTCCTGGCAACTGGACCTTTTTTGGAACACCATTATTTTTGTCTTACTGAGAGTTACTGTCAGGGCCCAGGTCTGACAAAATCTGTGCAGAAGATCTAGGTGCTGCTGTAGGCCCTCCTTGGTTGGTGACAGAAGCACCAGATCATCAGCAAACAGTAGACATTTGAGTGCTGCAGACTGTTCTAGTGCCCTCGCCAATTCGTTGACATATACTGAATGTTGAAGAGGGTGGGGCTTAAACTGCATCCCTGTCTCACCCCACGGCCCTGTGGAAATAAATATGTGTGTTTTTTGCCAATTTTAACCGCACACTTGTTGTTTGTGTACATGGATTTTATAATGTTGTATTTTTTTTCCATATATTTGTATAGCAGACCCTCATGCCAAATTGAGTCAAAAGCTTTTGTGAAATCAAGAAAGCATGAGAAGACTTTGCCTTTGTTTCGGTTTGTTTGTTTGTCAAATAGGGTGAAAACGTGGTCTGTCGTACTGAAATTTGGTAAAAAGCCAATTTGACATTTGCTCAGTACATTGTTTTCACTGAGGAAATGTACAAGTCTGCTGTTAATGATAATGCAGAGGATTTTCCCAAGGTTGCTGTTGACGCATATCCCACGGTAGTTATTGGGGACAAATTTGTCTCCACTTTTGTGAATTGGGGTGATCAGTCCTTGGTTCCAAATATTGGGGAAGATGCCAGAGCTAAGGATGATGGTAAAGAGTTTAAGTATAGCCAATTGGACTTTGTCGTCTGTATATTTTATACTTTTTTTGAGGATACCATCAACCACCACAGGCCTTTTTGGGTTGGAGGGTTTGTATTTTGTCCTGTAGTACAACATCCACTTTTAGCGGTATTATTTCAGGATGTTGTGGGCTGTAAATGCTCATACCAGAGTGAGTGTGTTTGTAAGTGTCACAATTAGGTGAAGACATACAGAAGTGTCTGACAGCAGACGTGAGTACTGTACAATAGTTGTCTTCAATCACTGTTGTATGAAAATAGGAAAACACAGCAGGGCCATATAATGATGTATCTTTGTTTGATATTGTTACAGATAATAATGTTTTTTTTTTTTTTTTGTTGGTATTTTACCCCCTTTTTCGTGGTATCCTATTGGTAGTTACAGTCTTGTCCCATCGCTGCAACTCCCGTACGGACACGGGAGAGGGGAAGGTCGAGAGTCTTGCGTCCTCCGAAACACAACCCAACCGAGCCGCACTGCTTCTTGACCCAGTGCCCGCTTAACCTGGAAGCCAGCCACATCAATGTGCCGGGGGAAACACTGTACACCTGGCGACCGAGTCAGCGTGCACTGCGCCCAGTCTGCCACAGGAGTCGCTAGTGCGCGATGGGACAAGAACGTCCCTGCCAGCCAAACCCTCCCCTAACCTGGACGGCGCTGGGCAAATTATGCACCGCCCCATGGGTCTCCCGGTCGCGGCCGGCTGCGACAGAGCCTGGACTCGAACCAGGATCTCTAGTGACACAGCTAGCACTGTGATGCAGTGCCTTAAACCACCGCGCAACTCAGGAGGCCCACAGATAATGATGTGCAGTATAATTCAACCTGACCTGCTGTTTATTGAACTAACTGCTACTGTTAGTTTTTTATTGTTGTCTAGCGCAGAATAATTTTTACACAGTTAAATATGACTTACCTCCCCAGTTGTAACTTGAATACAGTACTCTATCTCTCTAACTATATTGAAATGCTGTATTGTTAGTATATGAATACGACAATGCTTTTTATAATAATGGACTTATGAACTCATGAATGTTGTTGTCTATGTTTACAGAACAACACGTCATGGAGACCAGACTCCTGTCAGGAGTGTTCATGCTATAGTGACATCACCATCTGTCAACCTGCTACCTGCCTCAACCCACACTGCGACTACCAGAGGGTAAGACATAATACAGAGAGGGAGGGAGGGGGGAGGGAGGGAGGGAAGGAGGGAGGGACAGTGGAGAGGGGGGGACGGGGGGAGGGAGGGAGGGAGGGGCGGGGGGAGGGACGGGGGGAGGGAGGGAGGGAGGGAGGAACGGAGGGAGGAAGGGAGGGGCGAGGGACGGAGGGAGGGAGGGACGGGGGGAGAGACGGGGGAGGGAGGGAGGGACGGGGGGAGGGACGGAGGGAGGGAGGAGTGAACAAACAAACAAATCAATGAATGAATTAATGAACAAACAAACAAGTTAATGAATAATTGAATGATTGAATAGCTGAGTGTCTTATATACACTTGTGTTTATAGGGACGGGGAGGGACGGGGGGAGGGAGGGAGGGACGGAGGGAGGGAGGGAGGGAGGGACGGAGGGAGGGACGGGGGGAGGGAGGGACGGAGGGAGGGAGGGAGGGAGGGAGGGAGGGAGGGAAGGAGGGAGGGAGGGAACGGAGGGAGGGACGGGGGGAGGTTTGGACGGGGGGAGGGAGGGAGGGTCGGGGGGAGGCACGGGGGGGAGGGAGGGACGGGGGGAGGGACGGGGGGAGGGAGGGAGGGAGGGACGGATGGAGGGAGGGACGGGGGGAGGGAGGGAGGGAGGGAGGGAGGGAGGGACGGGGGGAGGGAGGGAGGGACGGTGGGGGGACGGAGGGAGGGAGGAGTGAACAGACAAACACATCAATGAATTAATTAATGAACAAACAAACAAGTTAATGAATAATTGAATGATTGAATAGCTGAGTGTCTTATAAACACTTGTGTGCCTCATTCCTCCATCCTCGCCTCTGTTCTCCTGCTTTGATTAAGTAATCTAGATATACAGCTAACAACACTGTCAGGGCATTCTGTCCAACCTCCCCTCTCTCCTGAGATATCCCATCCATCCTCCCCTCTCCCCTGAGACATCCCATCCAACCTCCCCTCTCCCCTAAGACATCCCATCCAACCTCCCCTCTCCCCTGAGATATCCCATCCAACCTCCCCTCTCCCCTGAGACATCCCATCCAACCTCCCCTCTCCCCTGAGACATCCGTTCCAACCTCCCCTCTCCCCTGAGACATCCCATCCAACCTCCCCTCTCCACCGAGACATCCCATCCATCCTCCCCTCTCCCCTGAGACATCCCATCCAACCTCCCCTCTCCCCTGAGACATCCCATCCAACCTCCCCTCTCCCCTGAGACATCCCATCCAACCTCCCCTCTCCCCTGAGACCACTATCAATGCCTAATGAATTCTGCTCCACTGACTGGCAGGCCAATGATAATTAAATTAGCCATTAAAGCCACCAAACCATGTGTCCTCTCCTCTCCTCTCCTCTTGTCACGCCCTGACTCAGGGGACTCGTATATGTTGAGTCAGGGTGTGTATATTCTTTGTTGTGTATATTCTGTGTGGTGTATCTAGTATGTGTAGTTCTATGTTGGCCGGTGTGGTTCCCAATCAGAGGCAGCTGTCGCTCGTTGTCTCTGATTGGGGATCATACTTAGGCAGCCTATTGGCACTGTTGAGTTGTGGGATCTTGTTTCGGGTAAGGTTTGTTGTATGTACAACCTTTGGACTTCACGTTTCGTTTCGTTTGTTGTTTTGTCGTGTGTTTATAAGTTTAATAAACATGTACGCATATCACGCTGTGCCTTGGTCTGACCCGTCATTGAACGAACGTGACAGAAGATCCCACCAAACAAGGACCAAGCAGCGTTCCCAGAAGGAGCAAACGCCTGGGACTCAACAGGAGGTAACCTTAGTAGATGTCCTCCTCGGTTGGTTGAGAATTACAGAGGAGGAGGCCGTCAGTTATCGGGAGGCGATGAAGGTAGATGCCCAGGTAGGAGAGGAGAAACGGCGCCAACAGTGCCGACGATGGAGACCCAAGAGGCAACCCCAATAAAAAGAAATTGGGGGGGGGGGGGGGGGGGGGGGGGGGGGGGGGGGGGGCACACGGGGTGGACGACGAGGCAGCAGGAGGCCGTGGAAGGGCGGATCTGCAGGTTAGGAGAAGAGGCCACCATGTTACGGGGGCTGTTGGCTCAGAGGGAGCAGGAGTTATTCGGTCAGAGGGAGGCGCTACAGGAGGCTCAAAGGGAGAAGGATATAGTGGAGGCACGGAGAGAGGAGCTGGTTAGGCAGCAGAAGGAGCGGGGGTTAATAAAGGAACCCAGTCCTGCTCCTCGCACTAAGTCAGTGGTGCGTGTCGCCAGTCCGGCCCGGCCTGTTCCTGCTCCTCGCACCAAGACAGTGGTGCGCGTCGCCAGTCCGGCCCAGCCTGTTCCTGCTCCTCGCACCAAGCCAGTGGTGCGCGTCGCCAGTCCGGCCCGGCCTGTACCTGCTCCTCGCACCAAGCCAGTGGTGCGTGTCGCCAGTCCGGCCCGGCCTGATCCTGCTCCTCGCACCAAGCCAGTGGTGTGCGTCGCCAGTCCGGCCCGGCCCGTGCCTGCTCCTCGCACCAGACCAGTGGTGCGTGTTCCTAGTCCGGTCCGGCCCGTGCCTGCTCCTCGCACCAGACCAGTGGTGCGTGTGTCCAGTCCGGCACGGCCCGTGCCCGTTCCAGTGGCTCCACTCCGGAGCCAGAGCTGTCCACTCCACCGGTGCATAGTCCAGCTCCGGTCAGCAGCTCTACTCCGGAGCCAGAGCAATCCGCTCCACCGGTGCACAGTCCAGCTCCGGTCAGCGGCTCCAGTCCGGAGCCTGAGCAGTCCGCTCCACCGGTGCCCGGTCCAGCTCCGGTCAGCGGCTCCAGTCCAGACCATGACGTCAGCCCCTCTCCAGGTTCGGGGTCTCCCACACCAGGGTCCAGACAGGGCCTGGCGTATCTTGGGAGGAAGGAGAGGGAAAGCAGCGCGCCGAGGTCCAGACCAGACCAGGGGCGCAATAGGGAGGCGGAGAGTAAGAGGTCGTCACGGCCGGAGCCGGATCCGCCTCCGAGGCGGAATGCCCACCCGGCCCCTACCCTGTTATGTTTATGTTGTGCGGTCGGAGTCCGCACCTTTGGGGGGGGGTACTGTTACGCCCTGACTTAGGGGACTCGTATATGTTGAGTCAGGGTGTGTATATTCTTTGTTGTGTATATTCTGTGTGGTGTATCTATTATGTGTAGTTCTATGTTGGCCGGTGTGGTTCCCAATCAGAGGCAGCTGTCGCTCGTTGTCTCTGATTGGGGATCATACTTAGGCAGCCTATTGGCACTGTTGAGTTGTGGGATCTTGTTTCGGGTAAGGTTTGTTGTATGTACAACCTTTGGACTTCACGTTTCGTTTCGTTTGTAGTTTTGTCGTGTGTTTATAAGTTTAATAAACATGTACGCATATCACGCTGCGCCTTGGTCTGACCCGTCATTAAACGAACATGACTCCTCTCCTCTCCTCTTCTCTCCTCTCCTCTCCTCCATCAAGCCCACCAAAACATGTTGTCTATCAGATCTCCTCCAGCTCCACCCCACCCTCCCCACCATAGCATGGAGATTTTATAGATGAACACAGCTCTTAAATATTTTAGTTTCTGAACATGAAACATTTTCCTTATGTCATTAATTTCAAAATGATAACAATTACTTGTCCCTCATTCCTCTCTGTTCTATGTATTCCCTGTCCCTCATTCCTCTCTGTTCTATGTATTCCCTGTCCCTCATTCCTCTCTGTACTATGTATTCCCTGTCCCTCATTCCTCTCTGTTCTATGTATTCCCTGTCCCTCATTCCTCTCTGTTCTATGTATTCCCTGTCCCTCATTCCTCGCTCTGTTCTATGTATTCCCTGTCCCTCATTCCTCTCTGTACTATGTATTCCCTGTCCCTCATTCCTCTCTGTACTATGTATTCCCTGTCCATTTGTTGGTATTTTTCACTGGAGGGTTAGAATAACAAAAGAAAGACAGGATGGTATGGATGGTGTGTGATGCAGATGGGGAGATGGGGGAACAGCGTACTGTGTGCAGCCTTTCTCTGGAACACCCAGTATGTCCGTTCATTTCAATTCCAGTCAATTCAGGAAGTTCATCCTGCATTAACATGGTTGTAAACTAAAGGGGACTAATACTGTATTCCCTCTGTGTGTCTCATCAGGGAGAGCGGTTGAGGATCCCTCCCAACCAGTGTTGTCCAGAGTGCCTGCCCTCCTCCCGAGGCTCTTGTCAGCATGAAGAAGCTGTTTATGGGGTCAGTAGGTGACACGGTCTGCTGTGGAGGACCAGAGAAAATATCTGTCTTCCTCTTCTCATCCTCTGTCCCCTTCTCTCTGCTCTAACTCCATCCCCATCCTCTCTCCTCTCCTCTAACACCGTTCCCCTCCGCTCTCCTCTCTCCTCTCCTCTAACTCTGTCCCCCTCCTCTCTCCTCTCCTCTCTCCTCTCCTCTAACTCCATCCCCCTCCTCTCTCCTCTCCTCTAACTCTGTCCCCCTCCTCTCTCCTCTCTCCTCTCCTCTCCCTCTAACTCTGTCCCTCTCTCCTTTCCTCTAACGCCGTTCCCCTCCTCTCCTCTCTCCTCTCCTCTAACGCCGTCCCCCTCCTCTCTCCTCTCCTCTCTCCTCTCCTCTAACTCTGTCCCTCTCTCCTTTCCTCTAACTCGGTCCCCTCCTCTCTCCTCTCTCTTATCCTAACACACAATTGCTTTCTTGTTAGCCTCCACTTTCGCCATCTCACACATAGTCTGAGTCCCTAATGGCACCCTATTCTCTGTTTAGTGCACTACTTTTGACCAGAACCCTTGTCAAAAGTAGTGCACTACTGTATGTAGGGATTAGGGTGCAATTAGGGTACCATTTGGGAGCAACAAGAGAGAGCTGGCTGGCGGGCAATCTTTTTAGGTAGAACAAGCTGCCTAACAAGCCACTTTGGCCGGGGGTTTTAGGATTCCATTGGTGTCGCTGAAGCATCAAGTGTCTTTCACACTTTCACAAAGCTCTACTGAGGCAGGGGACTCATGTTTTGAGAGGGACTGCCTGGGCCTTTTCAAGGCTTCGCTAACTCTCTGTGGGTCGGTGAAGGGCAGAGTGGAGGAGAGGAGCGGGAGAAGAAACTGTAGTGGGTTATGTGGCACAGTAGCAGAATAATGATTTATGTTGTTATTTACTGAAGGTTGTGTTCAACGTTTATTTTAGATTGGGGCTAGGAAGGTGAGACACTGGAGTAGTGAGTTATTGAATACAGCTAGTGTATCATTCCCTTTCTATTTCTCTCTCTCTCTCTCTCTCTCTCTCTCTCTCTCTCTCTCTCTCTCTCTCTCTCTCTCTCTCTCTCTCTCTCTCTTTCCCTCCCTCCCTCCTCCCCCACCATCCATCCACAGCATGACAGCCAGTGGAGTGCCTCTCAGTGCCGGGTGTGTGTGTGTTCTGGGGGTAGTGTATCCTGTGGACCGCGACCCTGCCCTCCTCTCAGCTGCCCCCCAGACCAGACCCCATTCACCCCTGCCGGAGACTGCTGCCCCAAGTGTGCCCGCCATGGAGGTAAGTTTCATGCCAACTAGGCTTTCCCCTACTCTACTTTAATTTCCAGTTAACGCACAAAGGCCTCCAAAGCAACAACAGATCCAGGTCCTCTGGCATCAAAATTGTTAATTGAATCCAATAGAAGCCAGGGGGGCAGGGGGGCTGTATTGCCTGTACTATGGTTGGCATAATATAATGTGTACAGTGTTGCCAACCCTTGGGAAAGCCTGCCAGACTCTGAGTCTGTTTGAGTCCGTTGCCTGAGGACTTCAAAAGGTTAGCTCATGTTTGTCAGTTCTATTATATATGTGTTGTGGTGGCTCCTGCATCGCTACGCTAGGCGGCTACGTAGCAAGCTAGCGCCTGAACTGGGAATTCCCAATGCTGCTAGCTACAAATCTGATGATGCCTCCGTTAAAGCGCTCACCTCAACTTCAGGTGGAATTTCTTTCCAGCGCGATTGCCTGGATGACTTTTATCTCTGACCTACATTCAAAGAATATATATATTTATTTTTTTTATGAGTGAGCTGATTTAGTTTTTGCATCTTTGGTGGAACCTCTGTTATCCTAAAATAAGATGATGATTAGATGCTACATGCTATATACAAGCAAGAGAGATGTTATCCTAAATATGAGTTGAAGTATTTCTGACAAGAGAGGCAGAGGCGAAGCAAGAGGGCTCACTTCGCCCCATAACATCTCCGCGCAAGAATAAAGCGTGAAGCAGACCAAGTGTGGACTTTTTGTATGGAGGTCAATGAGAGAGTGCCGGATTTGGATAACATCAAATTGAATTGCTGATTTTCTAAGTGAGGCTTATTTGATTGAATATACATTTTGTGGCCTCCTGAGTGGTGCAGCGGTCTAAGACACTGCATTAGCAGTGCTTGAGATGTCACTACAGACCCGGGTTCGATCCCAGGCTGTGTCACAGCCGGCCGTGACCGGGAGACCCATGAGGCAGCGCCCAGCGTCGTCCGGGTTAGGGGAGGGTTTGGCCGGCCGGGATTTCCTTGTCCCTTCACGCTCTAGTGACTCCTTGTGGCGGGCGCATGGCTCTCGACCTTCGCCTCTCCCGATCTGTAGGGGAGTTGCAGCGATGGGACAAGACTGTAACTACCAATTGGGGAGAAAAAGCAACCAACAAAAATTGTAATGTTACTGTAAGTGGACACACGTGGTATCCCGGCAACTTATAGGAACAACTTTTTTATATCGCAGTTGTGTCTGTTGTTCAAATGCTTATCTGCCCTCTCATTGGCTAGAATGTTCAAAACAAATCAAATGTTGTTTGTCACATGCTTCATAGACTAACCAGATGTGGGACCAAGTCACTATTATTCGAGTCACAAGCAAGTCTCAAGTCACAAGGTCCGAGTCTCAAGTCGAGTCCCAAGTAGAACGGGTCGAGTCCATGTCGTGCATTTTAAGAGTAAGTCAAGTCGAGTCGAGTCACAAGTTTCAAGTCAAGGCAATGACTTGTGGAACTACAAATCTTTGTCCATTTATTGAGACCAGACAATAAACCAGACAGTCCTTTTCATTATTTAGTCTACAACACATTTTGATTATGTAATAATTAATTTTAACAACAAATTCCAAATGCAAGTTTCATAAGTAATTATGAATTTCAAGCAAATTTGGATTACCAAAAGACCAGTAAACCTGTGCTAGTAATTGTTGCTTGATGCTCAGTTGCTAGTGGGCTTGCAAAGTAAACGGTTCATATTCTTGATCACCCAACCATTTTTTTTGGAGCTGCATATTAATTTATGTCATTCCTCTCTCCCTACCATGTGACGTTTGCGCTGTGCCCGATCCTACAACTGTTCAGCTATTCGCTGCAACCTGGGACTCCAAAAAAGGAGTGCTTCTAAGCTTGCGGTCAGTGTAAACGCGTGCACGATCGCCGTGCACATGTAGCTTGTTATTACAGCCATAAACAGTGATGCATTTTCAAAACGCATAGATACAGAAATAAACTGCATTTCACACTTACATTTGGAGCTGAAAGTCATTCATGTTTGCAGTCAATATCAACTAGGGATATCATGTCACATTGTCATTGTCACATATGGCCTACCAGTATGCAGCGGAGGATGCAGGATCGGATGGAAACGTGATCTGATTATCAATGATCTGTCTGTAGCCTTTTTTTTCTTCCTCACAAATATAATCATTATTATACGTTACATCTTCTTCCCATAAGTATTGAAGATAATGTTACAGCTATCTGTATTGCTATAGTGTAGAGCCAGTACCACCACTGATGTATATAATTATAACTAAACTAGGCCTATCTGAAATATGAAAATTATCAATGAAATCACCAGGTTGCGGCAAAGATGCGTCCGTAGCAGATTGCTAAACAGTACTTTATATGGGAATAAGAAACGTCCCTTTTTCAGGACCCTGTCTTTCAAAGATAATTCGTTATAAAATCCAAATAACTTCACAGATCTTCATTGTAAAGGGTTTAAACACTGTTTCCCCATGCTTGTTCAATGAACCATAAACAATTAATGAACATGCACCTGTGGAACGATCGTTGAGACACTAACAGCTTACTCACGTTAGGCAATTAAGGTCACAGTTATGACCTACTGACCCTGAAAAACACCAAAAAGAAAGATGCCCAGGGTCCCTGCTCATCTGCGTGAACGTGCCTTAGGCATGCTGCAAGGAGGCATGAGAACTGCAGATGTGGCCTTGGCAATAAATTGACAGGACAGACAGGGCAATACATTGCAATGTCCGTACTGTGAGACGCCTAAGACAGAGCTACAGGGAGACAGGACGGACAGCTGATCGTCCTCGCAGTGGCAGACCACGTGTAACAACACCTGCACAGGATCGGTACATCCGAACATCACACCTACGGGACAGGTACAGGATGGCAACAACAACTGCCCGAGTTACACCAGGAACGCACAATCCCTCCCGCAGTGCTCAGACTGTCCGCAAAAAGGCTGAGAGAAGCTGGACTGAGGGCTTGTAGGCCTGTTGTAAGGCAGGTCCTCACCAGACATCACTGGCAACAATGTCGCCTATGGGCACAAACCCACCGTCGCTGGACCAGACAGGACTGGCAAAAAGTGCTCTTCACTAACGAGTCAAGTTTTTTTCTCACCAGGAGTGATGGTCGGATTCGTGTTTATCGTCGAAGGAATAAGCGTTACACCGAGGCCTGTTCTCTGGAGCGGGATCGATTTGGAGGTGGAGGGTCCGTCATGGTCTGGGGCGGTGTCTCACAGCATCATCGGACTGAGCTTGTTGTCATTGCAGGCAATCTCAACGCTGTGCGTTACAGGGAAGACATCCTCCTCCCTCATCTGGGACCCTTCCTGCAGGCTCATCCTGACATGACCCTCCAGCATGACAATGGCACCAGCCATACAGCTCGTTCTGTGCGTGATTTCCTGCAAGACAGGAATGTCAGTGTTCTGCCATGGCCAGCGAAGAGCCCGGATCTCAATCCCATTGAGCACGCCTGGGACCTGTTGGATCAGAGGGTGAGGGCTAGGGCCATTCCCCCCAGAAATGTCAGGGAAATTGCAGGTGCCTTGGTGGAAGAGTGGGGTAACATCTCACATCAAGAACTGGCAAATCTGGTGCAGTCCATGAGGAGGAGATGCACTGCAGTACTTAATGCAGCTGGTGGCCACACCAGATACTGACTGTTACTTTTGATTTTGACCCCCCCCCCCCTTTGTTCAGGGACACATTATTCAACTTCTGTTAGTCACATGTCTGTGGAACTTGTTCAGTTTATGTTTCAGATGTTGAATCTTGTTATATTCATACAAATATTTACACATGTTAAGTTTGCTGAAAATAAAACGCAGTTGATAGTGAGAGGACGTTTCTTTTTTTGCTGAGTTATTAATGTAGGAATTAAACAAGCGCTTTCTGTTCACTAATCTTGATATGTGCGCCCGCATTTGCAAGCCAATGCTGATGATGACTGGTCATTTGTCAACAGTCAAGACGCGTAACTTTTTGGTTCTGAAGCACATATTAGATGTTTTTGAAACAAGAATTTGGTGCAATGCCATAGATGTATGTTAGATGTATGTTAGATGTATGTTAGATGTATGTTAGATGTATGTTAGATGTATGTTAGTGACATGATTGAATATGCAAAAGTATAAATATATAATACAAAACAATATTTTCAAATCAAATCACATTGTATTTGTCACATGCGCCGAATACAACAGGTGTAGTAGACCTTACCATGAAATGCTTACTTACAAGCCCTTAACCAACAATGCAGTTCAAGAAATAGAGTTTTTACTTAAGTAAAATAATAAAATAATAATAACACAATAAAATAACAACAATGAGGCTATATCATACCGATACAGAGTCAATGAGCGGGGGTACAGGTTAGTCGAGGTAATTTGTACATGTAGGTAGGGGTAAAGTGAGGGGGGGGGGGGGGGGGGGGGGGGGATTCAATGTAAATAGTCCGGGTGGCCATTTGATTAATTGTTCAGCAGTCTTATGGCTTGGGGGTAGAAGTTGTTAAGGAGCCTTTTGGACCTAGACTTGGCGCTCCGGTACCGCTTGCCGTGCGGTAGCAGAGAGAACAGTCTATGATTTGGGTGACTGGAGTCTTTGACAATTCTTTGGGCCTTCCTCTGACACCGCCTAGTATATAGGTCCTGGATGCCAGGAAGCTTGGCCCCCAGTGATGTACTGGGCCGTACGCACTACCCTCTGAAGCGCCTTACGGTCGGATGCCGAGCAGTTGCCATACCAGGTGGTGATGCAACCGGTCAGGATGCTCTCGATGGTGCAGCTGTATAACTTTTTGAGGATATGGGGACCCATGCCAAATCTTTTCAGTCTCCTGAGGGGGAAGAGGCGTTGTCATGCCCTCTGTGTTGGTGTGTGTGGACCATGTTAATTCCTTGGTGATGTGGACACCAAGGAACTTGAAGCTCTCGACCCCCTCCACTACAGCCCCGTCGATGTGGATGGGGGCGTACTAGGTCTTCCATTTCCTCTAGTACACGATCAGCTCCTTTGTCTTTCTGACGTTGAGGATAAGGTTGTTGTTTTGGCATAAACTGCCAGGTCCCTGACCTCCTCCCTATAGGCTGTCTCATCGTCGTCGGTGATGAGGCCTACCACCATCGTGTTGTCAGCAAAAGTAATTCCGCTACCCAAGAATAGTAAAGCCCCATTTACTGGCTCAAAAGCCGACCAATCAGCCTGTAACCAATCCTTAGTAAACTTCTGGAAAAAATTGTGTTTGACCAGATACAATGCTATTTTACAGTAAACTAATTGACAACAGACTTTCAGCACGCTTATAGGGAAGGACATTCAACAAGCACAGCACTTACACAAATAGATGTTTGGATGAGAGAAATTGATGATTAAAAAGATTGTGAGGGGCTGTTTTGGTAGACTTCAGTGCAGCTTTTGACATTATCGATCATAGTCTACTGCTGGAAAAACCTATGTGTTATGGCTTTACACCCCCTGCTATAATGTGGATACAGAGTTACCTTTCTAACAGAACACAGAGGGTGTTCTTTAATGGAAGCCTCTCCAACATAATCCAGGTAGAATCAGGAATTCCCCAAGGCAGCTGTCTAGGCCCCTTACTTTTTTCCATCTTTACTAACGACATGCCACTGGCTTTGAGTAAAGCCAGTGTGTCTATGTATGTGGATGACTCAACACTATACACGTCAGCTACTACAGCAACTGAAATGACTGCAAACACTTAACAAAGAGCTGCAGTTAGTTTCAGAATGGGTTGCAAGGAATAAGTTAGTCCTAAATATTTCCATAACTAATAGCATTGTATTTGGTACAAATCATTCACTAAACCCTAAACCCCATGTCACGCTCGTCGTAGGGAATAGAGGAGGACCAAGGCGCAGCGTAATAAGCGTACATACTTTATTTGTACTGAACACGACACAAAAACAATAAACAACGATGCGTGACGTCCTGAAGTTATACACAACACAAACCTTAACGGAACAAAATCCCACAAACCCGAATGAAAAACAGACAGTTTAAATATGGCTCCCAATCAGAGACAACCAACGAACAGCTGACACTCGTTGCCTCTGATTGGGAGTCACTAAGGCAAACATAGAACACAACAAACCAGAACCCCCAACATAGAAACACACCACATAGAACAAACACACCCTGGCTCAACAACTAGAGACTAGAGTCCCATAGCCAGGGTGTGACAGTACCCCCCCCTAAAGGCACGGACTGCGACCGCGCCTCAAAAAGAGCAAAACAGGGGAGGGCTGGGTGGGCATACCTCCTCGGCGGCGGTTCTGGCTCCGGGCTTGACCCCCACTCCTTCTCTAACCCCCCAAAGTACCCCTGGTCCGGTCTGGCCCTGCTGGCCGGAGCTGGACTGAACACAGGTGGAGCGGATTGCTCTAGCTCCGGCGTAACGCATCTGACCGGTGCCGGACCAGGCACCAGTGGAACAGGCACGGGCCGTGCCGGACCGACGACGCACACCACTGGCTTGGTGTGGGGAACAGGCACGGGCCGTGCTGGACTGACGACGCACACCACTGGCTTGGTGTGGGGAGCAGGAGCGGGCCGTACAGGGCTGACGAAACGCACCACAGACTTGGTGCGGGGAGCAGGAATGGGCCGGACTGGGCTGGCGACGCGCACCACAGACTTGGTGCGGAGAGCAGGAACGGGCCGGACAGGGCTGACGAAACGCACCACAGACTTGGTGCGGGGAGCAGGAATGGGCCGAGCCGGGCTGACGAAACGCACCACAGACTTGGTGCGAGGAGCAGGAATGGGCCGAGCCGGGCTGACGAAGCGCACCACTGACTTGGTGCGGGGAGCAGGAACGGGCCGAGCCGGGCTGACGAGACGCACCACAGACTTGGTGCGGGGAGCAGGAATGGGCCGGACTGGGCTGGCGACGCGCACCACAGACTTGGTGCGGAGAGCAGGAACGGGCCGGACAGGGCTGACGAAACGCACCACAGACTTGGTGCGGGGAGCAGGAACAGACCGGACCGTACTGGGGACACACACCACTGGTCCTACGCCGGGATCTGGAATGGGCCGGACCGGACTGGTAACACACCCCAGTACCTCTCGCCGTGCCTCTACACCTTCCACCCCCTCTTCGGCCAGTGGCCCCCGTAACCTGGCGGCCTCCTCTGCCAACCCGCTGGACCGCTCTATCGCGGCCTCCTGCTGCCCCGACGTCATGAGCCCCCCCCTAAAAAAATTCTGGGGGTCTCTCCACCCCGTGGGCCAGGCCTCTATAGTTCTCGCCCAACTCTCGCTCTTCTGCCTCCAACTCCCGCTATTCAGCTCCTCAATTGGCTTGACCCAGTCAAAGCTCTCCCTCCATTGTTCCCAAGTCCACTCTCTCCGCTCTTCACTCGGCTTGACCCAGTCGAGGCTGCCACGGATATCTGCTAGGGATTTCCCTGGCGATGGCTCTTCGACTCGCTGCTTGGTCCAGTTGTGGTGGGATTTTCTGTCACGCTCGTCGTAGGGAATAGAGGAGGACCAAGGCGCAGCGTAATAAGCGTACATACTTTATTTGTACTGAACACGACACAAAAACAATAAACAACGATGCGTGACGTCCTGAAGTTATACACAACACAAACCTTAACGGAACAAAATCCCACAAACCCGAATGAAAAACAGACAGTTTAAATATGGCTCCCAATCAGAGACAACCAACGAACAGCTGACACTCGTTGCCTCTGATTGGGAGTCACTAAGGCAAACATAGAACAAAACAAACCAGAACCCCCAACATAGAAACACACCACATAGAACAAACACACCCTGGCTCAACAACTAGAGTCCCATAGCCAGGGTGTGACACCCCAACTACATCTCGTAATGAATAATGTGGAAATTGAGCAAGTTGAGGTGACTAAACTGCTTGGAGTAACCCTGGATTGTAAATTGTCATGGTCAAAACATATTGATACAACAATTAGCTAAGATTGGGAGAAGTCTGTCCATATTAAAGCGGTGCGCTGCCTTCTTAACAACACTATCAACAAGGAAGGTCCTACAGGCCGTAGTTTTGTCGCACCTAGACTAGTGTTCAGTAGTGTGGTCAGGTGCCACAAAGAGGGACTTAGGAAAATTGCAGTTGGCTCAGAACAGGGCAGCACGGCTGGCCCTTAAAAGGACACAGAGAGCTAATATGAATGATATGCATGTCAATCTTTCCTGGCTCGAAGTGGAAGAGAGACTGACGTCATCACTGCTTGTTTTTGTAAGAAGTGTTGACAAGCTGAATGCACCGAGCTGTCTGTTTAAATTACTGGCACACAGCTCGGACACCCATGCATACCCCACAAGACATGCCACCAGAGGTCTCTTTACAATCCCCAAGTCCAGAACAGACTATGGGAGGCGCACAGTACTACATAGAGCCAAGACTACATGGAACTCTATTCCACATCAGGTAACTGAGGCCCCGTGTAGCTCATTTGGTAGAGCATGGTGCCTGCAACGCCAGGGTTGTGGATTATATTCCCACGGGGGGCTGGTATGAAAAAAAAAAAGTTTTGTATTGTAGCGGTGTAATAATGTTATATGATAACCTGTTTTATCTTTTGTTTTATATGTAATGTAAGTGCTTTAATGTATTTGGACCCCAGGAAACATAGCCTTGGCAGCAGCTGATTGGGATCCCTAATAAATACAAATACAATTACAAATGATGGTGTTGGAGTCATGCTCGGCCACGCAGTCATGGGTGAACAGGGAGTACAGGAAGGGACCAAGCACACACCCCTGAGGGTTCAGGGTCAGTGTGGTGGATGTGTTGTTGCAAATCTCACCACCTTGGGGCAGCCTGTCAGGAAGTCCAGGAAGGTGTTCAATCCCAAGGTCCTGAACTTAGTGATGAACATTTGTAGTCAATGAACAACATTCTCACATAGGTGTGAGAAGGCAGTGTGGAGTGCAACAGAGATTGTGTTATCTGTGGATCTGTTGGGGCGGTATGCGAATTGGAGTAGGTCCAGGGCGTCTGGGATTATGGTGTTGATGTGAGCCATGACCAGCCTTTCAAAGCATTTCATGGCTACAAATGTGAGGGCTACAGGGTGATAGTAAATTAGACAAGTTACCTTGGTGTTCTTGGGCACATGGACTATAGTGGTCTGCTTGAAATATGTAAGTATTACTGACTGGGTCAGGGAGAGGTTGAGAATGTCAGTGAAGACACTTGCCAGCTGGTCAGCGCATGTTCTGAGTACGTGTCCTGGTAATCCGTCTGGCCCTGCGGCCTTGTGAATGTTAACCTGTTTAAAGGTCTTACTCACATCGGCTACGGAGAGCGAGATCACACAGTCGTCCAGAACAGCTGGTGCTCTCATGCATGGTTCAGTGCTGCTAGCCTCGAAGCCAGCATAGAAGCACATTTAGCTCGTCTGGTAGGCTCGCGTCACTGGGCAACTTGCGGCTGGGTTTCCCTTTGTAATCTTTAATAGTTTGCAAGCTCTGTCACATCCAACGACTGCCAAGGCAGCATAGTAGGTTTCGATCCTGTATTGACGCTTTGCCAGTTCGATGGCTCGTCGGAGGTCGTAGCGGGATTTCTTATAAGCGTCCGGATGAATGTCCCGCTCCTTGAAAGCGGCAGCTCTAGCCTTTAGCTCAGTGCGGATGTCTTCTCCTCCTGCCCACCTTCCGCCTTTGTGGATATTTATTCCCATTGTTAGAGCAGACAGTTCAATATCTTGTCAGTGTATAGATCATCTTTGTTCTGACTCCACTTGCACTTCAGGACATACTGTTCCTGCGTTAGGGACCCCTGGGGCTGTCCACGCTACTGCCGGATGTATAATATTATGTTCCTGCGTTAGGGACCCCTGGGGCTGTCCACGCTACTGCCGGATGTATAATATATAACAGCCAGGCTGTTAGCTGGGTTTCTAACCATACATTATCCATAGCACCTCACAAATGGGTATAGTGAGTGTACACCACAAACACAAATACACACACACACACACACAACACACACACACACACAGACCTTTTGTACTGACAGTCTGTGTGTCTCCTCAGCATCCTGTTCCTGGGAGGGGCATGAGTACAGGGATGGGGAGGAGTGGAGGCCCAGCACGTGTTCTAAGTGTGTGTGCCACAATGGACAGCCTCAGTGCTATGCAGCAGAGTGTCAGCCTATAGCCTGCAAACCGGTTAGTAGGACATGTCAACGCACACCCCACACACAAAAGACACAAACACGCAAAAACCAACACAAAAACGAACACAAACACACACGCACACACAACACAGAAAACCACACCAAAAACAAACACAACCGAACACACACACGACACACAAACACCACAACACCAACACAACAAACACAACGCACACACTGCACACACGCACACAAACACGAACAAAAACACACACGCCACAAACAC